CCCCCAAAAAAAAGAAAGAAAGAAAAGAAAAGAAAAGAAAGATGCAGCCAGTTTGGGCCTGATCCAAGATACCCTTGAACTAGATGTTCTCAACAGAAACCTCAAGGATAATATATGATATGTGGCAGTGAAACACCATGTTCAGTTCATATTGTCTCTGTGTCTGAGTATGAAAAATGAGTCTTGAAACCATTTGGTGAATTCTGAGAATAAGGCAACTGCAATTGGGCTGGGGAAAATAAAGCACATCACCCTTCAATGGTGCTCCTCCTTGTGGCAGATGGATGCCATGCCCTTTGATGGCTTTTAGAATGAAATAAAAAAGTGTCGGTGAAAAGAATGAATGTCAGGAATTTTAACTCCCCACCTCACAAAACCTGGCTATCACCACTCCATTTTGGTTAAGCCCTAAGCCAGCTTCATGTTTGAATTGATCCTTGAAGTGTGACACCACTGTCTTTTTCTCACTTTCCAGTGCTTTACTAACCTTTCTAAACACACACACACACACACACTCCCCATATAAAAAAATCTGATTATCAAGAGAGCCTAACAAAAGTTAATTGAAATCTGTGAGGTTTCTCACTTTCACTGCAAGAATGAGACATGTGGGGTTTAATTTCTGTCATGTTTTCCATAATTTGCACAGAATTTCCCTGCAGAGAGAGAGAGAGAGAGAGAGAGAGACTTTATGTTTGTTTGTGATGAAGCCAGAACCAATGCTGAATCTTTGGTCCACTATGAGTATGCAAAGGGGTCTTGTTGCACCTTTGAGACAGTTGATAGAAAGAAAAAAATTGGTAGCATAAGTTTTCGTAGACTTAAATTTCTAGATGCATCTGAGGAAGTAGACTTAAGTTTATGAAATCCTGTATTACCAACTTCTTCCTTTCTCTCAGTCTCAAAGGTGCTACAAGATTCCTTTGCATACTGATCCAGACTAACAATGCTATGTCTTTGAATTCTACCACCATTATGAACATATTTATTACCATTTTCCCCACTCTGAAAGCCATTTTGCCTGCCCCTGTGCATGGAAACCAAGAGCTCCCTTCCATCTTCTCTATCACTCACACACAGGAGAAGGTAAGTTGTGATTCCTCATTGCCACAAATATAGTGTTCTTTTTCCAGTGAGACAATCCTTGTTCGTCTCATTCCTCTGTATGAAAATGAAGGGGGAATTACTGACTATAATCATTAATTGACAGAAAGATTTTTCTACCTTAAAATGTCTTTCCACACAAAATAAGTGATGTAATTCATTACTACAAGATCTTGTGATGTCCAGTACTTTGGGAAAGGGTTCGAGAAGTAATAGTTAGGGTTAGTTAGGAGTAGTTAGAAAGAGAGTAGCTCGGTAACAGCTGATAGTCATAAAATACCCATGTACAGTGGAAGTGGACCTCTAAGTACTAAAAGCTAGGGAATAACAAAAGAGAGAAAACTATATTTGTGGTAAGGAGGCTGAACCTTTGTCCTGTCTGATGTTGTTGGACTCCAATTCACATCACCCCTAGCCAATATGGCCAGTTATGGGGAATAATCAGAGCTGTAATCCTATTACAATTCTATTTTCACCAGAAATTCTGCTTTATGGCCTGATTTGTGAGCTCCAAGGGGCATCTGGGTGGTGACTACTGGGAATAAAATCTTCATCTAGTTGGTCCTCAATCTGGACCACAAAGCTAAGGAAAATTAGCAGTGTTTTTTCTAGCTGGGGAATTGTAGGCGCTGTATTAAAATTCCCAAGCTCTGATCTTGGAAAACTGGCAGTACAATTCTAACATTATTATCACTTCCATACTGAATGTGTTCATCTGTGCATCTCATTTTACCAACAGCTTGAGGCATGAGCCAAGTTCATGCATCTGTGTCCAAAACAAGCGGCATCTTCTCTGACTAATCAAAGAAAAAACAGATATGATGAGAAGAGCAATGCATTGCTCAAGAAACCTTCTGAAAGTTTAATGCATTGGACTACTGTGTTTCTGGGGGCATAAACAAATGTTGCTTCAGGCTAGACAAGGATATCCACTTTGATTTCTATGCTTTGCATTGTCTCAGCATTGGCTAGGCATGGGGGGGGGGGGAACAAGTAGAAAATCAGCCGAAGAAATGAGGAAAGATGTTATCCCCTTTCACTCCTCACCCCCTTGGGAATACATTGCATGGTAGCCTGCTTAGACATTTCATTTTCTGAAGACATAAGATTCCTCTCAAGTATGGCTCCCAAGGTGCAAGTAGACATGGGAGGATATATAGTATCCTAAATGTATTCTTTTAAGGAGTATAATCAAAATTCCTCATAGGCTTTCATAAAATCATGATGAAAAGGAGTGGAGGAAAAATGCTACCTGGGACCAATCTCTTCCTTGTCAGCATTGATTATCCACACCAGATCATCCCACTATTTCCCAGCTGAGGAGAAGGCTTAAATCGAGTACCAGAATCAATAGCTGAAAAGATGCTTGAAAAACAGAATGACAATCCCTTCCCCTGCCCAATTCTCCCATGTGTCTTGTGGGTTTAACAACTGCCATGTCCTATTACATCATCCTGACATGAGTTAGGACAACAGGAATCTGGGCAGCATTCTCTTTCAGTGCAGGAGAGGGAGGCTGGTTTGTTTTTGATGGTATTTTTTAATGTTGTCATTGACATTCAGCTTTGTCCAGGTAATTGTGTTATGTGCTGGTACAAGGCCTTTGGGACTCACTTGACCTTCTGGCAAAACATGTAGCCATGTCTGCAAGCAAGAAGCCAAGCTGCCAGAGTGTGTTTGCCAATGTCAAACAACTGGCCTTTTCTGAGATGCTACAAAAGGCAGGGAGAAGAGAACAGCAATTGGAGCCAAACGTGGCATCTCCCTTCACAAGCATGGCACAGGCTGGTTTGGATAGTCACTAGAGCTACAAGAGCCAAGTGCTATTAGCAAAGGGATAGCAGTCAACAGACGCCAACTCCTCCCATCCAGATGGAAGAAAAGCAGAGCAGAATAGCTTCTCTGTTGAACAGATACTAAGTAGAAAGGGGGAAATGCAAAATGCAGTGGAAGAACATCATTCCATTGTACTCTAATTTTTTTTTCTATTATTTCCTTTTAACAATACAAAAAGAAAGATTATCTGTTCATGGAAACTCTTTTCGGAAATGGCATCCACAGTTTACAAATATGGCAAGAGTTTACAAATATGCAGCCCAGGAAAACAAAATGAACCAAAGCAGAAGTCTTTGGCTTTGTTAGAACTGCAGGACATAATGTCACCACCAGGTGGCAGTGAACTGTAGGAAGTGGCAAAAACTAAGAGCTTTGATTGTCCTTTTCCCCCAAAACCATTAGAGTAGCCACTGGCACTTCTTCTGAAGTAAAATTCAGAAAACTTGGGGTAAATGAGGGGTTTTGAGTGAACTCTCCCTCAAATTCAAATGAGTTAGTGAAATTTCTGAAGGAGTTATTCCACATTCTGATATGACTGCACAATACTTTTCTGATACCAGAGAAAACTCAGTACAAGATCTGAAACAAAAAGGATTGGACACAAATGAGTTTTGAAGCAAGCATGCAGTCAAGCTCAGCTTTGGTTAAAATATCTGGTTAGTTTTTGAGATAAGCTTAGATAGTTTTACCAAGGTTAGCAACATTTTTTTCAGAGGTGATTTTGCATGGCACTAGCAACAACAGACCTAATCATGACATAGCATGAGAAGAAATATCTTTAGGTATGTGGGAGCCATGTTTTCCTTCTTTTCTTTGGTGATTCAGAACCTAACACCTAATACTCATACAATGCTCATTCTCTCTAGCTTACGAGTAAGTAAAAAAAAAAATCTATGACCTCACTATGTTTTGATTATATTGATCTACTTTGTTTTTCTAATGAGAAATGTAAGATTAGGCTGGGTCACTGCTAATTCCCAGCCCATGCTTTTAACTCTGCCTATAATGCATAAGCACTTCACTCCCCCATTGTGATGACATAGTTCTGGGAATCAGCAATCAATTGTGGAGGCTTGGATGGTGACACTTCATGCATTACCAATGCCTATCACTGTGCATGAGTAATCTTGGTACAGAAGGGTAAAGGGTAGAAAGGGTATGTGTAAATTAATGTCATGGAGCCCTTATTTGCATGTCATGTAAATAAGAATGATTACAACTATGTGGTATGACAACTTCCTCTGCAAACTGTAACTCCATCACTTCAGTAATTGATATATATTACCCTGCCTGCCTGCCTTGCCTCTAAGGAGTTCAGGGATGCATATACACTTCCATCACCTCTTATTCATAAGTAACCTATGAGGCTGAAAGATGGGGCTCTACAGATGGCCTCTAAGGGGCAGCTCCATACTGCCCCTGGGAGCGCCAGATTGGGACTGCAACAACCAAATGCTGCTCCTTTTTGGAGTGACAAAAAGCCTTCCTTGCTGAGGCTGCAGCTTTTCTGCTCTCCCTTGGCGCAGCGTGTCTAAACGCTGCACCAAGGGAGCACCCTGTTGCTGCCTGCCATCTGTTTGGGCTGACAGCATGAGGATGACATGGGGGTGGAGTTGGGGCAGCTGGCGTGCGGTCGCCATGCTTCAATTACACCCCCAGGTTGGCCCTTTTGGCTTGTCTGTACAGGCCAAAGTCATTATCCCAAAGTCATCCAGTGGGTCAGCCATCGTGGTGTAGTGGTTTGAGTCTTGGACTACAACTCTGGAGACCAGGGTTTGAATCCCTGCTTGGCCATGAAACCCTCTGGATGACCTTGGGCAAGTCACACACTCTCAGCCTCAGGGGAAGGCCATGGCCAATCTGCTCTGAACAAATCTTGCCAAAAAGAAACATGATAGGTTCACCTTAGGATTGCCATAAGTCAGAAATGACTTGAAGGCACAACAACAACAACAACAACAACAACAACAACAACAACAAGGAAATTTGCACCTTGTTTCATGCTGATATTACTAAACATCACAGTTAGGCACAGTTTTAAATGTATAAAATCTAGCAAAATGGGACATTCTCTCAACTAAGGATTATTTTTTAATAAAAAATCAACAAAATTGGACTCTGTGTCAACAGGCAACAAACAAAACCCAATGATAATCACTGAGAAATATTTATATTCCAATGCATTTTAGATTCGCTTCATAATGTTACATATAATTAAGCAATTCTGAACAATCCGATTATCCATGCACTAAAAGCTTATGAGTAAAAGAGAGAAGAGAATAGATGAAAAATTAAAAGAGCACCAATTTGTGAAATGTAGAAAAAGAGATTTAGCTAACAGAATGGCATTTCTAAGAACCTTGCCTGTGTGACACAAGGTATGTTTTTTATATTAAAAAAAATGTTGTGTATAAATGTTGCAGCTGCTGAAGGTAGGGGAAACTGCATGGGAGGTGGAGAAAAAAATTAAAGGAAGAAAACAGAAAGAAGCAATATTTTTTTTCTGCAGAACTGGAACTGAATTTGTAAAATCCACCAGTTCCTTTGTAGCTGGTCTGAACCTAAGGCCTGGGGGCCAGATGCGGCCCCCCGAGGCCTTTGGACCGGCCCCAGGCTGGTCCTGCCACCGCCACTGCTGCCACCCCCCACCATGATGATATTGATTATTGTTGTTATTACTTGTTCTTGGGGTTTTCTTGGCAAAATCTCCACAGGGGTTTTGCCATGGCTTTTCTGGGGCTGAGAGAGTGTGCACGCATATTTTTTTAAAAAAATATATTTTTAATTATTTTTATTTTTATTTTTATTTTTATTTATTTATTTATTTATTTATTTATTTATTTTTGGTGCTTCGGCCCCCCCAACTGTCTGAGGGACAGCAACCCAGCCCCCGGCTCAAAAAGGTTGCCTACCCCTGGTCATAAGAGTGCTGGGGAATGATAACTGGGCTCAAAATGCTTGCTTGTAAACTGTAGGCTTCCATCATTAAATCTATCAGTCAAAGCACTGCTCAGCTCCAATCCCATGCTCACAATAATAATACCATTGAAAGGAAATGGCTGCATACACAGGCAGTTAATATTCTCTCTGTGTGTATCTCTCACATACACACACACACACACACACACACAACACATTTGAAACAGTTATCTCTCTCTGACTGAGGCTGATTCAGGAGGTGGTTTGTGATACAAAGCCAGGATGTCATGTTACTGATGCTCCCACGTCTGAAAAGCTTGCCCTTATATTTGATCATTCAAAAAAGGATAAATGAAATGAATGCCGGCTGAGCATCCTTCCTCCTGACATCCCTAAAATAAAGTAAAGCATGGTCCTTCAGGTTGCCTAACATCTTAAAGTGACCTCACAAATAAAGAACCTGCTAGAGTCTTAAGATCTACAGGGGCAGGCTTTCCTCAGTCCCACCACCATCACGGGCTTGCTTGGTGAGGAAACAAGAGAGACCCTTTTCAGTGTTTGCTCTCACCCTCTGGAACTATGGAATGCTTTAGTACTGTTTTAATGGGATGATTATTTTACTGTTTTAATATTTTATTGCTAGTTTTTTAATTGATTCTTTTTTTGTGGACCTTGGTCTCACTCTGGGAGAAAGGTGGCATAGAATCGGGATGAATAGTTTCATACGGTTTTCCTAGGCAAAGAATAATCCCCTGAATATCCCTTGCCTTAAATAAAAGAACCCAGCCCTGTGAAATCATTCCTCCCATTTGCATGCCACCTTTCTCCCAGAGGGGGACACAAGATAGCTTACAAAAAGAATCAATTAATCAATGGTTTGCCATTGTCTTTCTATGACATATAGCCATCAGCACTTGATATGCCCTGGCCATCTCCCTTCCAAGTACTAATCAGCACTGATCCTCCTCACTTTCCAAAATCAGAGGGGACCCTGTGTTTTCAAGATATTCAGGCAATAAATAACCCTACTGTACGGTGTTTCAATTTCTTGGAAAACTGTAGAAACCCATAACTAGTCAAAGTGGCAGATGGTGACTCCCATGTCAGTGGAGCTATCCAAGGTACTGAACCTATTTGAAGGAAATCAGCTCCTTAAAAGTATGGATTAAAAGTAAGAAACCTTTCACTAGTCCTTGTCTCATACTGTTTTTTTTTCTTTCTGTCTTCAATGGAATATTTATTATTTTTGCGTATGTTTTCCTAATTTGCACATTCATTTATGCATTTGACCTGAGTTATGCATCTCACCCCCACAATTGACAGGAGGTTTTTTCTTCTTCCACTATACAAATTTTAGTTACAACCAACTATAGAACTACAAAACTGCCACCTCAGACCAGTCCTGTGAGGCAGGCAACTCATTATGCCTAATGGCAGGGCTGGTCCTGCTCTCTGCCACTACCCTTACAATATAGATGACAATCCAGATTGTTATTGTAGGTTTTCCACTTTTTTTTTCTTTTGCAGTGGCAGAGTACATGTCTCTCTCTATTTAAAAATCTGCACACACACCTTGCAAAAAGCATTTCCATTCACTGCTAGGCTAATCTTCCAATACTGGTGCAATATCGGAACTAATGCTAGAATAGCAAAGTATCCTTTTTTATTGCTGAAGTGGGAGGAGGTTATTTGAGAAGCCCTTTGCTGTATGAAAACCAAACACTCCAAGGGAATGCTCGAATATTGCCTCACAAATCAAATGGTTATGGACAGTATCATTAAATGAGAAATAAAGTGAAAGAGATGCTCTTTTAGTGCTAATGGGAACAAATTGTAAATATTGTAACTAACTACAGGAATCAAAGTGCTTTGAGGAGGTGGATGGAGCACTCTGCTCCCAGTTTCCCTGTTGGTTTGCTTCTGTTTGACATCCTTTCAAGTTGCAATAACTAAATCCTTGGCGGGAAGACAAGATAACTGAAAAGGAGTATCTCTTTGCTATAACATGAAAGAACCATTAGTGTGTTATTCTCTATGGGGAAACAGATTTCCAGATTATCTCATTTTCTAGACTACATACAATCATAAGAATCAAAGTGACATTTTTATTCCTGGAATTCATTCCTGGTGGGGAAGAGTGGGGAACTGGAGCAGTGCTTCTCTCTCTTTCTCTTTCTTTCTTTCTCTCTCTCTCTCTCTCTCTGTGGACTCATTACATGTAGAAAACCAGCCCATTGAAGAGAATGTTCATTCTAAGTTTCTCCCTGAAATGCTCTCTTTCTATCTTCAGGGAAGGAAAGAAATATTTCCCCATGCCATCTCAGCCCCCCACAGCTTGAAATGTAACTGTCCAGAAAAGTTTCATCACTTTATTCTGCTGGTGCTACAAAATGATCCTCGGAAGCATTGGAGCATTCCGGATCCAAAATTTTTCTCTTATTTCACTGCCATACTTTGGCTCTTTACAAAACAGGGCTTAATCTGTTGATAGTGGTCAGTCTTTTAAATTCATAGTTATATAATCTTTGACTAGTCTTACTTTTTTAATTTTAGGATAATGAGAGAGAGAGAGAGAGAGAGAGAGAGAGAGAGAGAGAAATATATGACTTTCCTGCTTCAGAATCTGCAGGCACCTCCCATTTTGTGCTAAAGGAAATATCCATTAGCAATAAAATGAGACACAATTGTGAGCAGTTCTGACTTTATGCACTGGTAATGATAGCATGATGTGCATGACATGATGACATACATAATAGCCTTGCCATTATACTATTATTTTAAAAGATAATAAGGTGATTTCAGAAGAGGTGTTGTTAGCTTGAAAAAGGCCATTCAGGTTTATTTTTTCATTGAAATTGCAGATATGAGAGGCTGCAAAGACCAGGATGATCAGATGCATCTCTCCACCAGTAACCCCCATGATCAGCCGGTTGCAATTTCAGATCACCTAATGGTGAACTTTTCCATTTTACTTCTGGGGTTTATAACCATTCTGTATCCACCTGATCCTTAAAGTAGTTTGCTGGCAGAAATGTCACAAAACAAATGAGTCTTGGTTAAGTAAGTACTGAGAGTCAGTGTGACCTAGTGGATGGCATCTTGAATTTGGAGTGCTGCAACATGGGTTCAAAGCCCATTTCAGCCAGGAACTTGAGAAGAGACTTGGATATCTTCTTTATGGTTTCATTTTGTCACTACAATGGGGAAAATGAATGGATGACCTTACAGAGGCATGAAGCTAAATCGAAATCTAATAAAATCTGTTACAACTTAAGACATTTATATAAAGCTGACTTGGACTCCTACTCATGATTTCTTTTTTTTTTCTTGTTCACAACTATGGGCAGAAGAAAATTTTCATTTGGATTTTGGTATGAGCTTACTGAATCATTTTGTGAACTGAAAAAAAAAAAGCTACCCTTAAGTATTTACATTTTCCAGAACTTTGTGATTAAATTAATTGAAACAAACACACAAACACACAAACACACAAAAAACACCTTAACAAAATTAAGGGAGAGGGATATAAAAATGCATATATTGTAGTGGGGAAGAATACACTAAAAGTATATAACATGGAACACAGCTTGAGAACAATGTGCATATCAGACAAAAATGCAAACACAAATGCATATTTAAAATGGAAACACATAAAACGACATATGTATTTTGTACAGACAAAGGAATGGAATAGAATAAACTGAAATTGACAAATTCATCCATCATAGCCAAAATGCTTTTAATGCTTCCACCCATGCTGGCTCTGGTTGGAACATCAGAGAATTTGTAGGCTCTGCTTTTAACCTCTGAATGGCCTAAATACGTAAAGGCTCCAGACTGTGACTAATATTGAAAGCTAACTAGGGTCAGCCCT